GTGTATCCACTTTAATTCTTTGGTTTTGTATAATATATTTTCACTCTTTGCTGACTGTTTACTGATTGCTTAACATTTCTCAAGGTCACTTGATACCCGCTCAAAGGCCGTCCATACAGTATAGTCCCACCGAAAAAGCAAGAGATAATATATAGTGACCACATCTGTGTTACTGTGTTATGTCATACAAATCAAGCTCTCCACGTCTATCATTTATGACCTTCCCTAGATGTTTAATATTGGGTGTAAACCTCCTCAGTTATTGTATGTTTGGCTTCAAGGATCAGTGGTTAGGATCCAATACCACAAAGAACACACATACAGAACATGCTGCTTCGGCCTTATCCTTAAGTAATACCTTCGACATTTCAGAAAGATCAATAGTTGCCTTTAACTAAATCCTAATAAATTTGTTAGCTGGATAACATTATCAGGGATTATAAAGTAGTTCGTCGAAGTTGATGTGTCCAACTGATTTACCATAACAGGCCTTGTTATTAACGGATCTAGACATTTGTTAGCCCCGATACAGATTTCAGAAAGCGCGCCTTTTATTCAATGAACAACAGTTTCACTAACGTTATTCATATTCTTATGTAAACAACTACAAATTCATTCGCTGAGATTTTACAAATATATTATTCCTAATTAATGTCTTACATCAACTCAGCGCTCAAATCCTGTGAGACTATTCGCTCTAATTTAGACGAGAGTTCTTATATAAAATATATCCCCTGTTACTATAACCAGTGCTTTTTTATGAAATATCAACCTGAGCAACTTACTACGGTAGATTTTATACAATTTGTAACATTTTGATCATGCCTGTAAACTGGCATGTTTCATGTGGCACATTGTTATTTGAGAATAAATTATTATTATACTGTCTTTAAGTCATCAGCATATTAGTATAGTCTCTCAAATTTTATGATATTTTATACATGGTTTATATACATGAGAAGCAAAGTAAACCAAATACATTTCACTGAAAAACCCCGATAATTATTGGTTAGGGAGGTAAGCAAAAGCCGTTGTACTTTGTTATTAGTTGATATTCATTTTGGAATGAAACAAACCACGGATATAGTATGCCAATAATAATAAAGACAATAGGCCCTTCGTGTGAAATTTATTAACTAGTCCTCTTGTTTTGCTTTGGAGTTTTAAATTTCAGGTATCCTAGTAGGAATGTATAGCATTACCTCAGGGATACTGACGTACAGAGTCCACTCTTCTAGCTCTAGTGCTCCCAATAAATGACCCGTAAAGAATGTGGTTGTGTTCAGAGAAGTTGATCTCAGATAAGATTTGAAAAACGGAGTAGTTGATAAGTTAGAGTCTTCATACGAAAAGCATTGCTTAATACAGTTAGCGGAAATAAGTTAAGGTTATTATGCTCTACATGAAGTGGTGTCTGAGGAATCTTCTCTCAAAAGGTTTAGATGTATTTTGGATCTTGTTAACGTTTTCAATCATGAATCTGACGTTTAAAGTGTTATAATAAAAGCAACACACCAAGCTGTGTAAAAAATCAAAAACTACGGTGTCTACGTCATTTGTGGTGAAGTACGAATCTAATAGAAGGCGACGAGTGAATTATTTCGTGCATCTCCATGTTTTTTGACTAAACGTCCTACTGTGATAATCTGCTGTAGCCTTATAACTTGAAAGCATGGTCGTTGGAGGACAAAATATACTCGTTACGACTCTATGGTCACCCACAACAAATTCGAGGCTGATGTGAACTGTCACAGGATCAAAGCTGGCTGCAAATATTGGGTTAAAAATATGACTTCTTGTAGGAGTTCTGATCTGCTGAACCCACCCACAAATTCCATTTCTTCAACCAACTCATTATATTGATCTGATACCAAAGTCGAGTCCCATTTGGTGCTCGGTAGCTTAGAATCTCACTTAATGATTTTAAGCGTATATAGTTTTTGGAAACCAGTGAAAAATGAGTTTGGTAACAATTTTTCAAAGTTAGTACAAGTATTGGATGGTCGGTATATATATCCGACCAGTTGATATTTTCGCGACCCGCACTGAACAGTTAGTCAAGTATAGTTATCTATAACATCAAGCTGCTCATTCTCAAATTAACATCCTTGAATGCTCAAACGTACATAGATAATTGTACCGCATTCAGTTACATGGTATCTATTGGGTCGAGAGAAAAGGTATTTATCTTCGCCTAAGGAGTGAACGGGTAACAATGACTTCCGCGATGTTTCTATGATAAATGCAATGCTAGGATTCACAAGGTGTAAAAGAGTTTTAAGGTAATTAGTTTTGTCTGAGAGATACTGAGGAATGAATCAAGGACCAAGGAACTGAGAGTTTAAATGAAGGAGTAGGTTGGAGAATAAGTCGTTACTGATAGCTTTATGAATAGTGGTTGGATTGGTAAAGGTAAGAGTTGTGTTTTGGGGAGAAGTAGATTCAATAATCCTCTCATCAATGGTAACATATTCACCTCTACTGTCAGAGAAGTCCGCCGAGTTGCAGAAAACGTCTTCAGATTGCCATTTGCTCTAACATCTGATATAAGCATATTGAACATTTCAGGAGACAGACGTAGAAGGTTATCTGTTTTACACATTCAACTAATTAGCCAGCTGAAGTTTGGGTTGTTTTATAAGAGTTGCCGTAACATGTTACAAACATGTATTCTCAAAGTTTATTCTACTTTTCAGTTTGGAAAAATTCCAATGTTTTTAGATATGTTCCCAGTAGTTTCCAAGTTGTCAATATATCTATGTATATTGTACGTTCGGCTGTATTATTTTTGCTACCGTTTGGCCGTTAATCGCTTAGCAATTGCCACAACTGTGCGTCTCATCGAGGAAACTTTGAGTGGTTTTATCTGAGTCATAATCAATGCAACTTTTCATAGTCAGCATATCTAAATTAACAGGAAGAATATCGCTCGAATCAAGATCACTTTGTTGTTTTCTGAGTTTTGAGAGTTTCGAGTGCGCTACTCACTGATAGGATATTTCTTAAGTCAGAGGGTTTTTCAGAATCAACTTTGATTTTACGTCTTTCAGAACTTGGATACATATGGCGCCTTCACAATTGTAGTCGGTCACCGTTTGTTTCCGCCTTGTGTTGACACAATGTTCTTTCTAGTAAAATCTTGACACATCTGAAAATTTGTTCCTTCCCTATTGCACTCGAGAAGCACAGAAATTTACCTGCTTCTACAAACGTGTTGAATAATATTAATGAATGAATTTAACGGTAATCTGGCTTAGTCTTCTTTCCACTAACGGTACGTGTGCCGTATCGCAGGATTTGGTGGCTTATATTTCATTGTTTATGGAGACGGACGACCTGTATATTATTTACGACTGCATTAGGGGTCAGTTATTTCCTTTTAAACACTTTTGAAAAAACAGGTCAGGAAATTACTTGTTGCACAATCCTAATCCTAGAATTTTGCGTTCCCGGAACTACTGAGGAACCGAGGTGTACTGGCGATTTTCATGTCACCTCGTGTATCTAAGCAACACTACCGCGGTTCTCAAGATGTAAACGCTCCGTCGTCCATTATTCTGCGTTAGTGGACACGGCCTTTGATTGGAGATTATAGCAGTATTATAGCACCCTTTTAGGCCTTCCCACACTACGTTGGAGCTTTGGCCAGGATCATTACTAAATAATACTATCGGATTTATTCTCCTTCATTTCGCTGTTGGTGCATTCACGTGCAGAGAAACCTTTGTTAATCAAGCGAACTTATTTATGGTTGTTATCTCATGGAGCGGCTTACAAGTAACATTCATTTCATAACACTGTTACCATTTTCTTGTTCAATATAACTTTTTATATTTTAACTGTAATTTGTTACCTGGGTAACAAATTTGCGTTACCTTAAGCTTTCCACGACATGAGAGACAAAGTCCAGAAGCGTCATCGACGGAACCAAGAACACGTATGTACGGCTTCAAAGTGATTACTGTTTTTGAATTATCTATAAGAACAGTCTTCCGTGTTCAAGGATATTACCGTAAGTTCATCTTCAAGTAACTTGTTGTGCAAAACAAGTTTTCTAGATTCAATAACGTTTTTCTTCATCACATTTTAGAATTCACAAGAATTGTTTGATACTCCATAATCCAACAGGCCTGCTGGAAAGAATGAATACGTGAAATGCCTGGCCCAAACAACCAATAAAGGGGAAATAAAGGCGAGCAAAGGGGAAATAAAGCGGAAAATGCATTGGAAAATAAGTCGTAAATAAAGGGGAAATGCGCCAAAATGTCCGCTTTTTCGCCTGTCCGGGGGAAATAAAGCGGAATTTCCCCTTTCTGTCGCTCTGTTTTTCAAATGTCGCTAAATTTCCGACGAATAGCCGACTTTTCCCCTAAATATCCGACGAATTTCCGATTTTCACCCTAAATATCCGACGATCTATACCATAAATATCGGACGAATTTCCGACTTCTACCTTAAATATCCGCTACATTAACTACTTTTCCACTACATACACACTAATGCATTTACCGCAACCGTCTCCTGTGTTCGCTTTCATTCCCACAACACAGCACACGAGTAATGTAAAGTACGTAAAATATGGTATAATTTCCAAATTGTTATTGAAAACAAAAAGTTCTTCAATGTACAAAGTAATGAGCAGTTGGCAGATGGTAGAGTATCAATGCTCAATATGTAATTGCCATTGTCACCGACCAGGCATTTCACTCTTTCCAGCAGGCCTGTTGGACTATGGAGAGTCAAACAATTCTTGTGAATTCTAAAATGTGATGAAGAAAAAGGTTACTAAATCTAGAAAACTTGTTTTGCACAACAAGGTACTTGAAGCTGAACTTACGGTTATGTCCTTGAACACGGAATATTGTACCTATAGATAATTCAAAAACAGTAATCACTTTGAAGCCGTACATACGTGTTCTTGGTTCCGTCGATGACGCTTCTGGACTTTGTCTCTCATGTCGTGGAAATAACTTTGCGTAGCCATGTCATATAGTTTCGCAAGGTCTTTCTCGTTGACAGATGACGACAGGAAACGATTAGTCAGTGCACCTGAAGTTTAAAAACCTTATTTATCTTACTTCGTACGCAGCCGTAAAACCTGCACTTCTGAATCGCTCGTTTTGATGAAGTACCCAGTAACGTGAAATTAATGGCGACTTCCGGTTTCATGATGTAGGACAGAATATATCGCATAGAGGTTTTAGGATCATCATCCATTAGACGTGTCAACGTGGCCATCTGTAATAGGAAAGAAGGATAAAAATAATGTTGTGTGCTTACAAATCTGTCTCTCACGTCTTTTTGCTCTAGACAAGCGTCCAAAGTTCCCAGTTCCTCTTCAGATGACAAAGGGAACTGTTGGCTGGATAAACCACAGTCAAATTGACGCGGATCTTGGCAGTCACTGAACCTTGAGAGCAGCAGCTTTATATTTGTACTAATTTCACTCAAGCTTGCTGACATTTTAAGCTGCAAAGTATACATTCTTTCAAATCTGAAAAATAGAAGTAGATCGTAGGGATGACTTACTGAGCAGTTAGATTTTTATCTTCGGATGTGGAGGGCGAGCTGTCTACTTGTGTCGAACTGCTTAATAAACATGTCCAAGTCAAAGAAACTTACTTGGCAATGGGAGAGACAACGTTCTCAAACATCCGAAGTTTTGGATATTGGACGCGGGTATTCCCAGCCTGCATCTCCGCGACATCCATGTCCACGGAATTGTAAAGAAAACTTTCTTTACGTTTTAATGCACTTCTACGAAATGTAAGTGAGATTGTTGAACTGACCTATTTTGTTTATCTGTGTTTAAGGGCAACGTAGTTTCGTCGGGCGGATAGTTCTCATCAGTAGCATAGCACACATGCAACGCTGCTAACAATTCATTGGCTGTTTTGAGACTTTCTACAATAAGCGATAATTTGCATGTATGTAACTAACCGCATTTGTGAGCAATACTGCGCTTGAACATAGACCAATTTTCCTCAGGTAGGTCATTGTTTTGCAGATGAAGGTCAATGATCTCCCTCGGATACAGACACCGTTTTTCTCCAATCACGCAAAGTCCCGATGCAATCACGAGCTTACTTTTGCCTTGTTTCTTAAGGATTACGTACTTATTGATTGGAGACTAATTATATCATAACAGGAAATTTAAGGAAATGCAATTACATTACAGTGTGCAACAACACACGCGCGCTATTTAAAAAGGACAGTGGTATTTTTCTTCGTTGAGTAAATTCTATTGTTTTGATCGTTATTAACCTATCAAGACTACTGTTTTTATACTTTGATTGAATTTCTTTCAGTTAAAGTATTCTATTAGAGTATCATCTTTGATATCCTAAATAGTTTTATCGTCGGTACTCCAGAGTACCTTTGTTTTTCTATTGTATCTGTTAGTACTTTGGTCCTAACTATTTATAGTTTTTTTTTCTACTTGAAGTCAACACTCACCTTCGCATCCTAAAATGACTGGAAGATCCAACAAAAGCATTTGCCACCGCCCAGGATGTCGATATCCTGTTGATAGCGGCATGCGGTGGGATGAGTGCAAAGGTTGGTACCACGATGTTTGCACGAATCTAACACCTGCAGCTTTCAAGCGGTTCAGTAAAAATGGGTGCGTATGGCTATGTCAACAGTGCTGTTTGGATGCAAATAGCCTGTTAACCGAGGCCATCTCAATGGTAAATGCCGCAAAAAAGTATCTCGGCATTGCGGTCGGGATACATCAGTCAGAACTCAATCTGTCGACACGCAGATTGACACAAGGCAGGCCTAAGTGAGTCCTAAAACTGCCGACCCACACTCTACTAAGGAAGAAGAACATCCTCCAAAGAGGACTGTTACAACCAGAAACTCGCGCAAAAAAGTCTCTTCTGTCCCTCGTATCAAAAATGGTACCCAGAAGGGAACTTCCGGAAGCCGAAACCGCAAGGCTCGATCGTTTTCCAGCGCGAAAAATGACCCAATCTCCCAAGTCGTCCTGAATCTTCTGGAATCCCACAGTACGCCTGACGCGACTGTGGTTACCACTCCAAATAACGTTGGCGATTGTGTACGGGTCGTAAGAAAAAAACGCCAAAATGACGTAAAAGGAAATCATACCCCCACCAAAAGGGTCGACAAGCCGAGGTCTGATCATAGCGACAGATCAGTCATTCTCCATAGAGTCAAGGAATGTGACAACCTATTACCGAAAGCTCGTTTTGAGCATGACATTGTGTTGATAAAACAACTACTCAACCAAGTTATGCCCAAAAACATCCTCGGAGTCACTTTGCTAAAGGTGTATAGACTAGGAAATCTAGCGCATCTGAAACCAAATCAGTCTAGACTACTCAAAGTCGTTTTCAAATCCCCAAACGAACGCGACTTAATCTTAGAAAATGGACACAAATTAAAGGGTTCAGGAGTTTTTCTCCGTAAGGACTTACCGTTGGCGGACCGTGTTAAAAGACGGGAAGCCGAAAAGGAACTACAGTTCAGATTAGACGCTGGCGAAAAAGACCTGAAAATTGTAAATTTTTGGGTTGTGAGGCTTCGACAGGATGATGCCGAAGCCACTCTGGGTGAAGCACGAGGCCACCTAAATAGGCTTCGGATCTGTTATACCAACGCCCGGAGCTTACTGAATAAGCTACCGGAACTAGGTGTACAGATTAACTCAACTAGGCCAGACATAATCGCAGTCACAGAAACATGACTGACGCCGTCTATAGATAGTAGGAAACTTGATTTCGAGGGTTTTACATTAGTAAGGGCCGATAGAATACAAACGCGTAAAGGAGGGGGAGTTGCTCTATTCATTAGGAATGCTATTCCATTCACCATTATCGACAGTGTATCCCATGAGAGTGGGACGTATGAATTAGTTTGCTGCCGCCTGAAATGCAGGGGACAAGAGTTGCTACTTAGTTTGATCTATCTCAGTCCAAGCTGTGAGGCAAACGAGGTCCTGCTAAGCAGTCTCAACACTTTATCACGAAGTGATCGATGTCTAATCCTAGGAGACTTTAATGCACCCATGGTGGACTGGGGAAATCTGCGGACTGAATCGTCAGCAAACTCCTTCGAACAGGAACTAGTTGATGCGGTAATCACATGTGCCCTAGTGCAACACGTGAAGGAAGCAACTAGGTACGACCCGGGTTCTGCATCATCCTTACTAGATCTTATATTGACTCACTATGAGGATGATGTTGCAAACCTGGATTACATGCCACCCCTAGGCAAAAGTGATCATGCAGTTTTAAGCTTTGACTTCCATATAACTGTCGATCACGAGTACGCTTCAGCTCAATCCAGACCTAACGTCTGGAAAGCAAACATACCAGACATCATGAAATCAGCATCATTAGTAGATTGGAAATTAGACCCAGAGTCATCAATCGAAACGGCTTGGGACGTATTCCGGAATTTATACTTAAAAGTTACCACCATCAACATCCCTTGGACTACACCTAAGAGACCGAGAAACTCCCCACCGTGGTTCAGTAGGGAGGTTCGCATCCTTCTCCGTAAAAGAAGGAAAATGTGGGACAGATTTAGGTTACTGGGGACTGACGAGGCAAAATCTCAGTATCAAAAGGCTCGAAATACCTGTGCCTCAACCCTCCGTAAGGCCAGAAAGCTGTACGAAGAGAAAATCGTTAGGGAATCCATATAATGCCCTAAACGCTTGTATTCGTATATAAACCAAAGAACAAAAAGAAGAAGAAATGTTCCTTCACTATGGGGAGACAGTACTGCCACATCACTAGTGGAGGACGACTTTGGCAAAGCTCATGTATTCTCTAAATACTTTAGCGATGTATACACCATAAAAACACCCTTCTCACCAGTCCATGAAAATCCACCCACACAAGCACTGGACAGCGTAACCATTAAAGAACTTGATGTCTTTGGTCTGCTAAGGTAGTTAAGGTAGGTAAATCCACTGGACCCGATGAACTGCATCCTAGGTTACTAAAGGAATTAGCTAACTTTGTTGCGAACCCTTTAAGTGTATGTTTTAATCTATCCGTAACCCAGGGTCGTCTACCAAAAGACTGGAAGAACGCCATAGTAAGTCCAGTCTTCAAAACAGGTACAAAACATAAGCCTGAGAATTACCGACCAATTAGCCTAACTAGTGTGGTTGTTAAAATCTTAGAAAAGATTATTCGGAAGGAACTGTTAAAGTATCTCGATGAAAACCGGATCCTCTCCGAAAAGCAGCATGGTTTTAGAACAGGTTACTCTTGTCTCACAAACTTATTAGTCGCTCGTGAAAGCTGGTGCGCTCTTAAGGACCAAAAATTACCTATAGACGTAGCTTACATCGATTTCAGCAAAGCTTTCGACAAAGTTCCGTATAACCGGCTGTTATATAAGCTAAGGAATGTCGGGATTGGAGGCAATCTATTGATGTGGATAAAAGACTTCCTAGTTGGGCGTCAACAAAGAGTATGGGTGAAATCCAAGTTGTCTAGCTGGGAAACTGTGCTTAGTGGAGTCCCCCATGGTACAGTTTTGAGGCCAGTGTTATTCCTCTTGTACGTAAATGACCTCCCTCGTCTACTATCGTCATCGGTCTTACTCTATGCTGATGATGTCAAGATATGGAGAGCGATACAAAGCAAGGGCGATAGCTTAGAAATTCAAAATGACCTGGAGAGGTTATCTGAATGGTCCCAAACCTGGCAATTGCCGGTAAACACTTCCAAGTGTATTGTGATGCATATTGGCCACCAGGGTACAGATACATACACGATGAATAACACTGAGTTACCTATTGTTCAGGCACACAATGACTTAGGCGTCATCGTTAGTCAAGACTTAAAGACTACTGCACACTGCCGTGCAATAGCCGCCAAAGGTTTTTAGGACTTTATGGTCCATTCGCAGGGCTTTTAGGCATCTTGACGCTAAAACGTTTCTGATTTTGTATACAGTGTTCGTACGCCCTAAACTTGAGTACTGTATACAAGCAGCTAGCCCTTGCCTAAAAAAGGACAGTGAACTCTTGGAAAGGGTTCAGAGAACAGCAACTAGGCTGATTCCCGGAATAGCGAAGCTCCCGTATGGTACTAGACTGACCAAGCTAAACCTATTCCCGCTGTCATATAGAAGAATCAGAGGCGACTTGATTACAGTTTTCAAATTGCTTAATGACAATTTTGCACCTGATATGCCCTCATTTTTCTTGTCTTCCAAAACAGAAAATCTACGAGGACACTCCAAAAAAGTTCACAAGCCCAGAACGAATTACTTGTCAGCTGACTACCGTTTTTCCCATCGAATAATCAACGAGTGGAATTCATTACCTCAGCACGTAGTTGGGGCTCCATCCGTCGACTCCTTCAAAAGAAAGTTGGATCAGCTGAGAGACCATCATTGCCAGGACTAACACAGGCCATCAAGCCTCCTGTCCTTTCCAAACTGAAACTGAAAGTAACAATAACCAAATGATTAACACAATTAATAGACATACATTTACAGTCAACATCACGGATTGAAACCCAACTGTAGGCACTGCTAACTATGGAGCATTTAAATATTCCTATGTCAGTGGAAGGAA